GCGCGGCCTCGGCGCCGGCGCCCGGCCCGGCGAGCCCTAGCAGCGGGTCCTCCAGGTCGCCGCTCGCCTCGCTGCCGTTTTGACCCCGGGTCCGCCGTCCCTGGGCGGGACCCGGCTCCTCCTCGCCCGTGCCCGGCAGGCACGAGCGCAGGATCTCGTTATACACCGAGGTGCCGGAGATGAGCACCACGAAGCCCACCAGCTGTGGGGGGGGGGCGGGGGGGGGGGGGGGGGTGTGAGTTTTGGTGGGAATTAAGGGGCTGCTGTGAGCGTTTGGTCACCAATATTACCCTGGCATGTGGACTATCACGTGCTCGTTCCTTGCTTGGGCCCCTTAACAGGCCCCCCTCGCGCCCAATTTCCTTACCAATCTGCCTCAATCCCTCCCACCCCCCCTCCCCCCCCACCACACACACCTTTTCTGGAACGCAGACAGTGCCAAGCTGCTGGGCGTGCTCATCGGTGCGGCGCCCAAGCTGGTGCTGCCCTACACCTCCCCCATCCTGGCCTGCCTGGTGACGCAGCTGGGCGCGGACCGGGGCGCGCCCGGGCATGACCCCGGCGCGGCAGGGCATGAGGGGCGCCTGGTCGGCTCCTCCCCCTCCCTCCACTCGCTGGCAGGGCGGGGCAGCACGCACGGCGCCGGCGCGCGCGCGCTGCCCCCGCCCAAGGGCGGCTCCGCCGCGGCCAAGGGCGCGCGCCCCGACGACGGCTTCGAGCTCTTCGTGCTGATGACGCTGGGCGAGCTGGCGCGCGTCGCCGGCTCACGCCTGCAACCCGAGGTGGGCAAGGTGCTGCCGCTCATCATCGCCGCCATCCAGGAGGACGGCAGCGCCGCCAAGCGCCTCGTCGCGGTCAACACCCTGGGCCAGGTGGTGGAGAACACGGGGTGCGTGCTGGAGCCATACCGCATGTTCCCACAGCTGCTGGGCATCCTGCTGCGCATGCTCAATGAGGGCGGGCCCATCGTCAAGCGCGAGGTCATGAAGGTGGGCAGGCGAAGCATTGTGTGTGTTGTGCGTGAGGGGGGGGGGGGGCTTAGGGGGGGGGGGAAGGGTTGGGGGGGATGACAGGGCTGACAGGTCGCGCGCATGTGGTCCTGAGGTATCGACCTGCCCCCGAGGCAGCGCCAGGAATCATGCAGGGGTCTGCCCTGCACGACCTCCTCCTGCGCCTGGTCCAAACACAACACCCCTCTCCTCCCTCCCAACCTCCTCCATGACCCCCTCCCCCCCCCGACT